TGTGCTTTGAACTGTTTCCTTTGGTCTGTGTTTGAGAGTTGATTTGTTGTTCCAGTTTTAAAAGCTTGAATCTTTATGCTTTCTTTCTAAATGGGAATGGACATGTCAGTGTGTGGTTGGATTGTCCTTGGTATTTTTCTACGTTAACAGACAGAAATCCTTGTTTGTATTTATGTGAGTTTATACCATATTGTGCCTCTCTTTGATTGTTTTTTCCAGCAATATTCTTAATTCCTTCATATAGGATTTCCTCAACATCATAAGGTAATAAATGCAGCAAATGATTTGACGGGCGTATTGCCTTTATATCATAGATTTTGTATACATCTGAGAACACTTGAACCCGACCAAATGGTAGTCCTCTTTAATCAGGTATTAGCCTAGGAATCCAGACACTCGTTTTCAAAATTATCCTTGATTATTTTTACTTTGTTGAAATCCTCAAATAATTTGTTATTAATATGTCAAGGGGTGTATACATTTATTTGGTGATTTTATTTAAGAGAGAATTTTGTGAAGTTCAGACGATTGTCTGTTAGCAATACTAAAGAAGCCAATTTTGACATATTAATATTATTGTTAAATGTAACGGTTTTTGCCATCTCACTTTTTTCTAGTAATTAAGCAAAATGACACTTGGCACTGATATGGAATTTTTTAATTATTTTATTCCCTTTTCCTCCACTGTAAATCCACCGAAGAGATTGGTCAAATAATGGCGATCATCAAAACCTTCCAACTTCTTGATTTTCTGTAATCCATTTTACTTATTACAAATCCCTCCCGAAGCAAAAGTAAATCCTTTTATTGATTCTTGTGCATTTTCCACATCAGGGTCTGACCATTATTAAGGATTTTGTCCTCATCCTGGATTGATATTGGCAAGAATAGCCATCCATCCATCCATATCCATATATTATTAATAACCCATCCATCATGCCGACTCAGAATATGGCCTATTACTGACTCCATACCCAGTTTCCTGTTAATAAGCCGAATGAGATAGGCCTCAGGCTTCGTTTTAGATGGTGCTAATTAATCTCCGACATTGGGCTTTGCAAAAGGCAGATGGTGGTACCCTAATCTAAAAGCGTGTGTGGTCTCCTTTTCCTCATTAGAGACTATTTCACTATCCCAATATAAAAAACGTTCATTTGCCGGTCACTACTTGCCAGCAAATCCATTCAATTATCAAAAACTTTATTTGGGGCTCCACGAAACATAGGAAAAGCATACATCTGTTGAAATGGGATCAAGTCTGTCAACCAAATCAACATGGAGGATGCGGACTTAAAGACGGGAAGGACAAAACACTGCTTTCCACATGAAGCTTGGTCACGCCATTTTCACCAAACTACACCTACTATGGGTACAGATCATTAGAAAGAAATATGGCTGGATAAAAAGCAAGTCAGTTACAACTAGGACCAAAACTGGCTCGCATTTATGGAAAAGCTTGATGGCTCTTTAAGATGAACTGAACATGGGGTTAGCTTGAAAAATAGGAGATGGAAAGCAGATTCAATTTTGGTCTGATCATTGGATAGGGGAACCTCTCATTTTGACCAATTACCAAGGATGAGGGTAAGAAAACTCTACACCAGTACGTGACCAGAGAAGGAGAATGGAAGTGGGAGGAGTTTGTGAACCACTTGCTGTAGCAAATTCTTGATCCGATTGTGCGGACCAATACCTCCTGAGCATCAAACACGACAGACTCATGCATCTGGCGTACCAATGAATTTATTCTGAGTTCTGCTATATATAGTTGGAAAAGAGTGAATGGAATGAAGAAAGCTCCCATTGGAGCTTAGTCTGGAAGTGGCCGGGGGCACAATGCGCCAGAACTTTCCTCTAGTTAGTAATGCATAACAAGCATCTTGCTAACAAAGTTAGGCTCAAGAGAAAGATGGCGTCTGATGACTGCTGTGAATTTTGTGGAAAAGCTTCAGAAGACTTAAATCATGCACTCAGATACCGCACTTTAGCCTCCTCCTTTTGGAATCTAGTAGTTCCTGCCTCCTGACAGCAGCAATTTTTCACACAACCGTATGAGAGATGGTTTAAGGAAAATTGGCAGCTTAGTAATCAAAATAGACAACGGTGCACTGCGTTTGGACTCTTATGTTGGAAACTTTGGGACTCAAGGCATCGTTTCCTCTTCTCCCAGGAAGACACCAATCCCATTGGCTTGGTCCATCAAGTTCTGGCCTTAAGCGATTACACAATTGCAGTGCAGAATCATCACAAACAAATGGGTCTTCTCTGATCTGGGTCTGTTTCTCTTATCGCTTCTTCCTCTTGTTTTTTATTGCGCCTTCCTCGTGTTGTTTTTCTGTAGTCCTCTTGTAATTACAGGTTATCAATAAAAATTACCTTTTCACTCTAAAAAAAAATGCCCCTTCCTTTCTCAACTCCTCCTTTCTCAACTCCAAAATAAGAGATAATTAATCCACAGGTCCTTATAGTTTCAACTAATTTTGAATTAGGTCCTTATAGTTTTTTTTCTTTTTATCAAGTCCTTATACTTTTACCTGTTTTTAATTAAGTCATTGTATTTATTTTTCTTTTTATCAAGTCCTTATAAGTTCATCTTATTTTTAATTAAGTCCCTGAATTTTTTATTCTTTATTTTATAAATTCTAATAGTACTATTATATAAACAGAAAATAGTATGTATTATTTAATATTAGTTTATAAACAATAATATTCTAAAGATATTGAATTATTATAATGATTTTAATTTTTTCAGCAAAAAAATTAATTGTTCTAAAAAATTTTCCTGAATTAATTAATTCTATTACTTTTTCATTACATAATTATTAATCTAATTTAATTGTTAATATTTTATATTTCAGTATTAATTGATTTAACTAAGCTTATATTTAATTAATAAATAAAAATTAAAACTACATGGACATGATTAAAAATTTAGTGAAATTATAAGGACTTAATTAAAAGAAAAATAAATACAAGAACCTAATTAAAAAAAGGTAAAAGTATAAGGACCTAATAAAAAGGAAAAAAACTATAAGGACTTGATTCAAAATTCGTTAAAACTATAAGGATTTGCAGATTAATTAACCCTTTTATTTTTCTTTAAATTTTATCTCCATATATAAAGATTTGAAAAGTAAAAAGAGATTTTATCACTGTTTCTCTTCTCACGCGATCTTGAGTTATTTCTCTCCATATTTTTTTTTATTATATTTAAAAACTATTCAACTTTTATTTTTTTATCTTAAAAAATATTTTTATTAAATAATTTGGTTTTAAAATATAATAATATGAAAAAATATATAAACCAAATAACTTGATTTTAAATTATCTAGTAATGCTAATGTTAGTGTTTTCTATTGTAATATTTGATTTGATTTGATTTAACTTTAAATATAGTATATTTTGATAAGGACATTTTAATCATTTAGCTATTTGCTCATTATCTTTCGTTTATTTTTTTCTCTCATCTATCTAAGTAATAGGAATAATAACATTTTCTCTCCAGTTTTTCCTTCTGTTTATTTTCTCTCCTCCCATTTTCTTTCTTCCCAATTTTTCTTGTTGCCGTCAAAACAAACCATTAAATTTTAAGTGAAGAGATCTTTGTGAAGGAAATTTATCAAGTGTATTCATTGGTTATCAATAATCATGAGGTTTTTTTACAATTTTTGAAACAATTAGTGTCTGTTTGGATTGACGATTAAGATTTTAGATAATCGTAAATTTTATAAGTAACACTAGCTTATGTTTGGATGCTTGTTTTATAAGTGACTTCAAGAATTATAACTAAATTTGGCTTTCATTTATTAAAATTACTTATGAATGTATAATTACTACAAAAAGGTATGAATTTCTTAAAGTTGTCTAAATTTTGATATTTATTATATTTAATAATAAATGTTATATCATATAAATGATTAGATATTTTGAAAATTATTTTTATTTTACAATTATTGTTATTATTATTTAAAATAACTTAAAAATTTATGTGTAGTACAAATATTAAATAAAAGACAATATATATTAAATAAGCAAATGAATGAAAATAAATAAAATTTTATTAGCAATTTAATAACGTAAGTAAGAAAATTGATTGTTAAATCAAAATTATAAGAAACAAAATTTAAATAGCAAAACGAATTAATAAATTTGAAGTGGGTTTGGTTGAAAATTTATGAGCAAAATATATGCAAATAATACTGCCAAATTTCATCTAATTCTATTTTAATGGCTTATTGAGATAAAATTATGGGACCACGTAAATAAAAGTACAAACATAGTTTTTAATAACTTTTTTCAAATTAAGTGAAAATGTTATCTATATGAAATTTTTGGCTAAATGTGACGTATAAATCATGTAAATAAAATTAATATCTTGTAATTATCCTAATTATATTTATATTATAATTTATAACATATCCGAATGAGTGAATTTGGAGATTAAGATGGAATTAGGAAATTAACTCGTTAAGGTTTTCCTGAGGAACTGCTTTTGATAAATGTGGAAAAAATTTTGAGCGCTGGTAATTTTAATACACAATGTGAATCCAATAGATTACCGGAAAATTTGACCAATAATGGGTGCTATCAATTGGATCTTCATTCTGGGTTTATGGGAACCTACTATAATCTGGGGATTTACTTTTTTAATATCAGGTTTAGGATCAATGTACTGCTATTTCTTTAATATTCAATTTTTTTAATCAAGAGTTCAAATTTTGTCTCTCCAGCAACTCTGCTTGTCCATCATTTGGAGAGGCCAAATCTTGAAACTTATCTTATGTTTGGTATGAGGGAAATTTTGGGAAGTGTAACACCCACTATAACTATACCATAAAGGTTAATTAATTAGCCATTGAACCACTAAGCTAGGTTTGATCTTGTATCAAAAATATGATTTTCTGAGAAATTTTAAACTTTTGAAAGAACTTGTAAAATGTCCAGTTTAGTAGTTCAAACATCCAATTAATTCATTGGCTCCAAAATCAGTAAGATGCTTCTACTAAACCATAAATATTTGACTTCAAAGTAACAACTAAACATTTATCTACTAATAAGCAGCCATCAAAGGTGATGGCACTTACTTGCTGGCAACATAGCCACCACTTTCCTCTTTATAGAGGTAAATACAGCCCATATGTACTTTACATAATTACATATAATTATACACAAAAGCATAGCCTCATGTGGCTAACAAAATATAACTAGAATATCCTAAATAAACTTGGTGACCAACAAATTAAGTTCTCCAGCTTCCCAACCTTTTTAAATATCAGCAAACACCACGCTCTTGCCCTTTGACCCACTAGCCTTCGTTGTATGTCATAGATGAAAGGGGTGAGATTCTAGGAATCTCAATAGTGACAGCAGTTCACCATAAAATTATACAAAGCTCATAAACACATGCAAAACAGGCCATATTAACAACACTTGCATCCAAGCATAAACAGCGATGCTCAAACATCAAAAGCTTTGCACACAGATATAATCAACAATGCTCATGCATCTTACACTTTACAAACAAATATAATCAACGATGCTCATGCATCCCACACTTTGCAACGCATATGGCCATGGCAATTAAATCAACATCACATACTCATAATTGAGTACAACTCTACAAGCTCAATGCAAAGCAAATATCACATACTCATACCTGAGTACAGCTATACGAGCTCAACGCAAAGCAAATTTCACATACTCATACTTGAGTACAGCTCTACAAGCTCAACGCAAAGCGACTTCCACGTACTCATACTTGAGTACAGCTCTATGAGCTCAACGCAAAGCGACTTCCACATACTCATATATGAGTACAGCTCTAGGAGCTCAATGCAAAACAATTTCCACATACTCATACCTGAGTACAGCTCTATGAGCTCAATGCAAAGCAACCTCCACATACTCATACCAAAATACAGCTCTACGAGCTCACAATCATTTGTCATAGAACATATTCACCATATATTCATTAAAGAATATTGGCACTATGGTACAAACCGACATGCAGAACTATTGCATAAGTATATGATAGGGAAAGAGTCACTACCTAAAGTCTCTTCTTTCAGTTTACCTTGTCCAGATTTCTTCCTTACTGGCTTTCTTGACAGACTCGGGCAAGTATCAAATCCTATATATAGTTTCACAGATAAATGGGTCAATGTGTAGTCCATTAAACTTTTATTATCAAAATATAACTTCTTTTGACCCGTTAATGAACTCTATTCCTTTTATTTAATAGTTGGCCATCCTGGACAATATTTCTTATTCAACCTATTCTCTTTGGAGGGTTCCTTTCTTTATCTTAACCCATACAGTTACTTTACTTAGTAACTGATCATCTCAGCCAAAGATAATATATATACATATAATCACACCAACTGATTTCATTATATTTTTCCAACTATTTTAATCTCTATGATTCCTAAATTAAATCTTTAAATAACTTAATCCCTTCAAACTTTAATTTAACATTCCTTAAACGACTTTTCTAAATAAATCTAAAACTCAATCATTCAATATCCTCTACTCTTAATTCAATACAATCTCTTCTATTCCTTCTGCTTGGCAATTTCTTACATTAACCACTATCTTATTACACAAGGACCCTTCTCCTTAATTCTGAAAATTATTTCACACCTATACCCATATCGAAATCAACTTTTGAATGCTTCTGCTTCAAATCTGGAAATCTTACTGACTTCAAATTCACCCGAAAATTATTCCCTAGCAATTCTTGATTATATTCCCCCTTAGGACTGTTACCCAATTTGACTTTTAGCTTAACCACATAAAGCAGTAACTTCTAGATCAATTTTGAGTTCCAAAATTCAACCAATAACTTCACAGCATCCCAGACGTATATGCACCTATATATATATATATATATATATATATATATATATAACTACTCTGCCAATTTAGTTATAGCACTTGTTTATAGCTTCATACCCGGCCCCTTTGAGCCATCTAATGCATTAAACTTTATTTCATCATTCATTTATAACTTCAATTTTTCAGTCAATTTTATCCTCCAAAACTTAAACGCCAAACTTCAACATCATCATTGCACATTCAATAATATATATCCAAGTAGCTTCGTTCTATATATATAACTTAGACACTTTCTAGCCTCAATAAATATTTCGTACAGCAGCACCCATATTCTGGATTTTTTTTTTTTTTTACAGATTTGAAAAAACATTCGCCAAACTATCCCACAGCACCATCTAAAGCTCTTATGCATAATATCTGAACTTCCCTTACTATGGTTACTATGAACCCGACACTATACAACCAAAACAGGGAACTCCATGTCACTTGATTAAAACAGAGCTTGGGGTTCGAAAACCATCACTTCGCAAACCAATATCACATACGGTCTCCTATATACACATGTGTGAATAGTGTAATTTTTCCCCTTTAATTCCACCAGAACCTGACGCCACCCACATCAGAAACAACAACTACTATTCAAATTTAACTTGCAGAGGAGATAAGCAACATGCAATACAATATACTCACTCCATGAACTTAACTCATTATCATCCTAAACCAGCCATTCAACCCCTGTTCGGCCACAACAAAACAGAGCAAGGAAATCCACATGCAAGCTAAAAATCATACTCCATTATCATCAACAAACACTACTTTTTCATCATCATTGAGCTTCAGACTTAACCAAGAGTTTCTCTCACTAGAACCCAAACTTCTTTCATCATTAACTCTTCAAACACACAGCAAACCAAAGAAAGAAGAGTAGAATGATGATCAGAGGGCTCACCTGATTCTGAAACTCCGTTTGCATGCAGGAATCTGGCCACCGATCACCCACCTCCTTCTCTTTGTTGCTCTCGGTCTGTCCCTTTTCTTTCAAGTGGCGGAGTGAAAATGAGGAGGAAGAGAGTGTTATCTGATGTTAAATGGTGAGGTAGCGCGCGTGTGATGTGGGAGTAAAAACGAAATGTCCATTTTGCCCTTACACTCAATGCTTTCTTTCAATTTCATCCTTGCTCTATAATTCTGAAATTATAAGATAAACCCAGAAATTATTCCACCAAGTTTTATATGGATCTTTCTCATCCTTTAGCTTCTTTGAACCATAAAATAATGTCCATAAAAATTTCGGGTCAAAAATCATCTCCTACCTATTTTTCTTGAATTTTTCAAGAAAATAGCATTTAATTCCAATGATTAATCCTTGATTCATTTTAAGGATTTTATGCCTCCAATACCTTATTTACTATCTCAAATTATTATTCTAAAACTTTCAGATTAAATATAAATCTCTAAGTATTTTTCCATAATTTTCTGAGAAAATAAACCAATTTTCCCTTAAAATTATCCATTAAAATTATTTAAGCCCTTTTTGGGGGAAATGAATTTTCTAAAATATTTCTAACCTGACAATCAATATCTTTTTTCCAATTTTATTTTGGCCATTAAATAATTTTAATTATTTTTTTTCTACTTATCCTGAGTTAAAAAATTCGGGATGTTACAGGAAGAAGAGGAGAGGAGAGGAAAAATTTTAATGAGCTTGATTTAAAAAATTGGAGAAGTAGGATTTTAAAATTTTAATAGCGAGAAGATGTAAGATTAAAAAAGTTATAAAAATTAATTAAAAGCTTTTAACCCCAATTTTGTAATTTTTTAATTTGGGTTGAAGAATTTAAAGAGCTATGATTATGCATTTTGACATAATGTAATTAAATGTAGAACATTATACATATGGATGAACATGTAGCATATTTGGAGCTAAATGAATCTTTTCACATGCAATTCTTGATTATATTCTACATGAAAATTTTGAGAAGCTATCACATCCCAATTTTTTTGGAGGTAATCGACAAGGAATATGAGAAATCTCATGTTCCCGAGCTCACGTTCCCGAGCCTTCTCTTTCACTAACAATTAACATCTACTATAAATAAATCATATAATCAAAATAATAAACCATTTGTAGAAATTTCGGCAAAGTCTCTGTGGTAAATCAGACTTCCCGAAAGTTCTACAATGGCCTGCAAGTTTAAAACAGTATTTGGAGCTCTACTCCCCAACACAAGTATATATATAATTACATCCCAATTTATCTCAAAAGACTAGGATCTAACTATAGATTTCGTGGAGCACATAACTATAAAATTAAATACATAAGTGTACTCTTGGGTTTACATTAGTTAACAACTACTCAAAATAGATTCAGAGGTTCTGGATCTTCACTGAGGCTCTTCACTGCTCAGTTGGAGGGACAGGGTCTGTGGTGCTATCTGAAGCCAAAACTAATCTACTGGTGAATAACATCCCATTATAATATTTAATAAAATATTAGGAACTAAATAAAATAGATTTAACTTTGACAGATAAATGGCAAGAATTAAAATTTCTATAGTATACAATCCTAAATTAAAAGGATAAGTATATACTTGAACTCATTAAACAGTTAAATCAAATCGAACTTCATAATAAGACAACTTGATACATGAAAATGATATAAAACATTATTCTATTTATTATTATTATTTTCTTCAAATCTTGTCTTTTTGTAGGACCACAACAGAACGGGATAATAAGCGTGGCCTGAAGCCACGAATACAAGCATGGACACATAGTCTATGAGGGTGAGTAACAAATCAAGCACAGTCGAAGCCACGAAGCAAGCGCAGCCGAAGGCACGAAACAAGCGCGGGGACAATGCCCACGAATATCAAGCGAGCTCGAGATTTCCATGGCGCGCCAAGGACTAATAGTACTGCTGTTAGTGATTAGTGTTCTGTATTTGGTCCTCCAAGAAAAACTCACAAGCATGCATGAGATCACTTCATCACTAACTTAACAAAGGAAAAATATATATAAAGTTTTCTAATAATGGAATCCTTTAAAAGTATTTTATTTTATTATTATTATCTTTTTGTAACAAATGATCTCAGCATGAAGGTCCTCAAATAACATTTTTAAAACTCCTATTCAAGTTCCAAACATAAATATTTATTAATTACAAAACGCTGATTAATATATCACAAGTGGCAATTTATTCAACATAAGAAGCAAAAGTATTTCTCTAAACAACAAAACATTGAGACATTAAATAATTAAGATTGAAAAATGATAAAATTTAATTTAAATTACCTGGATAAACTATTTAGCAGCAAAAATAATAATTTAACTAGATTAGTAACGAGTAGTAAAAGTTTTTCTCTCTTTTTTTTAAACCATAATAATGGGATGCTATTCACTCACCTGACAAGTTCCCACATAATACTTAAATTTAATCACATCCGTAATAGGAACTCTCCTTAATCTCCTAAAGTCCAAAAACAAAAATATTACTACTCAAGTCAAAATTTATATAAAAGTTTTCACAATAACTAGATAGATAAACTTTAAGAACCATGTTAAATAAAAATTCCAACAACTATAGAACTCACTATTTGGACTCCCAATATTCCAATAGCTCTTATAGGATGGGCATTACACTTTTAAATTTATCCCACAAGATTTAACGTATTGGGTGCCATTTTTAACATAACATCCTCATCTAATTAAACCCAACGCACAAGACGCTACAGAAAAGCAGTGATTTACTAGTGGTCATTTTCTAGCGGTTAAAAAAACCGCTACAAGAATAAACATTTCTAGCGGGTATAGCACAAATCGCAAGAAATCTATAGCGTTTTGACCAGAAATGGTGTGGAATGTAAGAATCACTAATCACTCAAGAGGGGGGGTGAATTGGGTGTTAATTAAAATTAGAAAACCTTTTCACAATGTAATAAAATTCATAAGAAATTCTGAGTATAAAAATAATGAATTGACATAAGCATAATCACAGTAGTAAAATGGTTTAGCTGGAAATATAAAAAGGTAAGGGAAGAGAAGATGCAAACTGTGATTTATCCTGGTTCGGTCCTCACTGACCTACGTCTAGTCCCCAGGCTCCCCCTAAGATTTTCAATCGACTATCTCCCTCAAGTTTAACACGGGTACTTAAGAACCACTACAACCACAAGTTTGATCCGGGCACTTGTGACGCCACTTACAATTCTTAGACTAACTAGTCTATTCAATAGCAACCTCACACCGAGGTAAATACTCCCCCTTACTCACTGTAAGGATACAATCTAATAATGATAATGAAGATTGAATATTTCTTCTCCCAAAGAAGTGATAGATGAATCTTAAGCACGTTTGGGAAACTCTCCTCTCTATCTTACAAATACATATATTTTAGTCTATGAAGTACAGAGACAGTGAGTTTTTCTCTTAGAGCTCTAAATGAGAATATGTTGATTCGGCATTTTAGCATTTGATGTTGTAAGCTCAGACTCTTTTTCTTTTTCTTGTTTTGAATGCTCTTCTATTTACAGATGATGTTAGGTACTTGACTGTTGAGCATTTTCGTCCTGTTTGGCTTGAAGAATATGACCATTGAAACTAGCCATTGGTAGCTTCTGATGAAAGTTGATTATTCACATCATAAATTCGTTGTGGCTCTTTTCCTGAAATAATCTTCCTCAAATCAAGTGATACGTATCTGATAATCTTAGAAACAATAAGTTGGAAAACATGGAATCAATCATCAGATATTCAGATATTCAGAAAGTAAGATGAACTTACTTAATCGATGCCTTGATCGATAATCCTTTGATCGATCATATTATCGATTAATTATATGAAGAAAAGATATAGCAGATATGTGCAATTATCGAATAGATTATGGATCATATGATGATTGAACAGATGATCGATAACTGATGAAACATGAATGCAGTTAGCTTTAAATGAATTATGCAAGGATAATCTTTTTCAAGTTACGTTTGCCTTCGTATCCTTTCAATAGAGAGTTGTGTGTAAAAGGAAGGCTGAGAAAAGCTTAAAGATAAAAAGATAAAATATTTCGAAATCATCGTGAAATGCTATTATAAAATGAACTTGTACAATGATCGAACAAGTGATCGAAAACTTGTTGATCGATCATGCTATCGATGAACAAAGTGTTATAGAAATAGATTTTGAAGCATTAATTTTCAAACACATTATCGATAAATAGATGATGGATGACCTTATTGATAAACAATAAGTAAAAGTATATTCAGTGAAAACACAGGCTATGTAAGCTGATCGAATAGGTGATCGATTAATGAATGATCGATCATGTTTTCGATAAAGAGGTTTATTCTTTTAAAATCAAAGAACTGATTTATCAATCACGTTATGTGAAAACAAGGTAAACATAAAGTGCGGTGATCAATCATATTATCGATAATGAGATTATCAATCCCGTGATCGAAGAATCATGGTTTAAAAGCGATGTGCTAATTATCGATCATGTGATCGATAATTTGCTGATCGATCAGGTGATCGATAAGCTACTGAAATAATTACCTGCACTCAGAGTTATGAAGCAATGTTCGATCATATTATCGATAAATGACTGATCGATAAGGTGATCGATAAATGGAGACTAAAGCAAAACATAACGCATTACCATTTATCTGTCTTCTCATCGATAACCTATTTATCGATCATGTTATCGATAAATGCCTATTTATCCATAACGTTAACCTTGTTTATCGATCAAGTGATCGATAAATACATTTATCCATAATGTTATCCGAAAACCATTTATCCAACAGGTTATAAAACCTCAATAATGCATATGAAGATAAAAGAGAAGAATTGAAGAGATAGTACCAGGAACTCGATAAAGTGATCGAGTATGTAGTTGCTTGATTAGGCTCGAGTAACATCTGATAATAGCTTTTCATTTCCTCATTTCCTCTAGTGCTTTTACTCAATAACATGTTTGAGTAGCATATTGCTCGAGAGCTTAATCAATCAATGTAGAACTTTTGGTC